TTTCCCATGCATTCTGGCTGCCGCAAGCGGCGGAGCATGCAGGCAGACCCTCGGGGTCCCACACATTGTTACCAACTGCCTTCGATTTCGCGAATATAATTATATCATCAGAGCAGTGTCATGAACTTCAACAATCCACGAACTTACCGGTGGAAAGATATTCGCGTTCCTTTCGAAGCTTTCTTTTTGCATAGCGCGGAGATGTACGGCCTCGCATCAACGATAAACTAAACCAGATAACCGTCCTCCCAGGCGGGGCGCGAGTGGGCGCGCCTCAGGAATACGAAACCAAGCAAACACAAGATTTCCGAGATTTCAACAGAAGGAAAGTTAATGCAGCGTAATGAGTATACTGCTTTTTATAAGCGTTAGAATAGCTCAGAATTTAGTTTACAACGTTAAATTATCACTGTTTATATTGCTGAGAGTTTTCAGTCTTCGCGATTACCACTGCGACTGCCGTCCTTTAGCTGGCAACATTGGTTTCTTTCTCTCATGTTCTGTCGCTCTCTTTCGCGATCTTTCACTCGGGACCCAGGATGTAGGCCCTTGATGTAGGCGCGCGGGATTTGCCACTCCTCCTCACCCACCTTTACCCCACCTGGCGTAGACAATGAGCCGCAGCGTGCCGAGCCTTTCGTTCGTTTTCATCCATGTCAGAAAGAGAATGCGTGGTATCGAACGTGGTTATATACGCCTTTGAGCATTTGATCGCAGCGTGACATGGATGAAAACGAACGAAAGGCTGGGCATGCTGCGGCTCAGCGTCTACGCAGACAAGCACCACCAGATCTTCGCCTCAATCAACATCATTTACCACGTGGAGATGCGGTTGTTTTTTGTCCTTATTATTAGTACAAGAGTCACAAAAATGCGCAGAAGCTGGAGCAATCGCGAGACGCTAGCCTGTCGCACGCTTCGCAGTGCCCGTTTTCTACAGCGGGCGTGTAGCCTCTGTGCGCACGCCACGTAGGGGAAACGATCGGTGCGGCTCCGATGACAGGCGTTTGGGTAACACGATATAGGGCTCTAACACGATATTGAGGACAGGGCGCCGTACAACGGGGGCACCTTCGCGCGGCAATAGGGCCTCGTGGTGGGCCGCACACCGCACACCGTGAAGAGAATAAAAAGAAAAAGAAAAGAAAAGAAAGACTTTCGTTTGCTTGAGACTTTTTATGCTCCCTTTTCATCACATTTTTGTCTTAGACTCACTGTAGCCGCTTCGCACTAGACTGCCAGCAGGCCTGGGTGGAATCGTGCCTTTATTGTCCGAGTGGCTTGTTTGCAGACGCTATCGTTCTTGCTACCAGCAATTCGTGTCGCAGTGGGTTGATGCATGTATACACTGTCAGCAGTGCCAGAATTGAATTCCAGGCACGGGATGGAGGGAATCCCAGGCTGTGGTTTTCATTTCAACTGAACTCCTGAAAGTCAGCCCTTGCGAACCAATGCCACATTGGGTAATTTGGTGCTGAGGACGTCCTCCATATCTGACGCACATTTGATATCTGATGTAGCCGGCCCTCGAAGGTTGTAAACAGTTGCATCATGGTGCTTGACGAGGCCTCCAATCCCATCGCAGGCGTTCTTACCTCCCAGTAGCGGAAACTTGTTACTTGGCCGACAGGTACTCGGTTTTAGCGAGCTCATGAAGTTCGTACCTATTCTTGAAGTAGCTTGCTCCGCCGTCACTGACCTAGATAAAATGTGCGTAGAAAGGAGCAACGTCCTCAGCCACTCGTGAATTTTCCCAAGGCCGTAGCATGTGCGGGAGGAATCGTGGCTGGTATCATCACTGATCGGAGCGCAGCTACAAGCCCTTTTTTTGGTTGTCACTACGCGTGACGTCGCTTGTGAATATATTCTCTAATAATATATGGCAACCGAAGAGTTTGTGCCCTCTAATGGTTTCGCCTCCCCTCTTTTTCCACCAATCAACGCACTCCTTCTTGTGACGTGATCCTCTGGGTGACTAATTAATCAAGAACGCGAAGGATGCAGCTAAACTGCCTAAAACGTGGACTGGAAGGAAAATACGACGTTTCGGGGGAACGTCCTTCAAGTGATAGTTACGAAACACGGTGAGGAACAAGGAAAGGGTTGTATACGTCACAAGAAAAGGGGGCTATGCTTCTTACTCACCGATTTTTTGTTTCTTACAAGAAGATGGGCGTCCACCCGAAACTTCGTGTATTCCTTCCCGTCCACGTCCTGTTTATTGTTGCACAATATATCTTTTGTGATTACGTGCCCAAGCTCATTGTTCTCGGCAGCTCCATTCTCTTACACGCTGAGATAAACATCAGCTATCGGAGCCACTTCGGTTGATTCCTTTGCTTGGCGTACACGCCGACTACTGGAAACGTACCCTGCGAAGCTTGCGACAGGCTAGCGTCTCTGGATTGCTCCGGGTCATGCTGATTTTTTTTTTTTAAATCTTGTACAAAGAAAACATGACTTGCTCAAAATTATCACTTAGAAACTATCGCCCACCCGAGCGCTGTCCATCTGACCACCCCGGAGCACTTTTACGGGCTGTAAAAATTATGAACTTGTCAACTACGGGTATGTATAATACACGCAAACAATGCAATGATATTTTTGCTCATCATGTTCATAGATATCATTGGCGTTAATTTGGAAGAGTTAAAAATATCTAAGATAGTAATTTTTTTTAAATTGATTTGCAAAAGTATGCATATTTAGTAAAATGCCTCCATTTAAGCGTTTCTCGTAAACTTTTCTTGCTAATCAGGACAACAATATTTATAGTCAGATAGAGGACAACACGCTAGCAAAGTTTGAAAATCCGGGCTTGAATAAATGCGGAGAAAAAAAAAAAAGTTAAAACTTAGGCAGTATGGCTCAATGTGCCGTCGTCTGTGCGATTTTCTATTTCAAAATAACGACGTCAATACGTCGTGATAAATAATTTAGGTCAACCATCCCCATAGGGGCCAGTAGCCACAGCACATTTTGGGGGAGAGCTGCCTGAAATGCCAATTTTGCGAAATCCACAAACAACGCTTCAGACTGAGCAGGTGTTTCTGACTTTTTTTCTTGAAGGCAAGTTTGCTTTTTCCTAAAACAAAGACCGGTTCCGTTTTTCGGGGCATTGAGGCAGCAAGATGCATTTTTCTGGTCAAAATTAAAAACTGTCACCGGACACGGTCGGCCGTTCTTATCTGAAGACGGAGTCGTCTTAGAGAAAACTGCCGCGGCATAACATAACACAACTGCGTGTATATTTGACAAACAAATATCAGTAAGCTAGGCGGCTTCTGTACGTTTTATTTACGTAGAATACGCATGCACCATCACATTTTATTGCGTTCTTTTAGTGGGTAGAGGAAAATCGGACCCTTCACGTAACATATTTTAGTAGCTTTACTTTTTCGAGTACAAAAGAGGGACCTTAGTAGTCGAGGAGAAGTAATCAAACTTAGGAACGACTATAGAGACACGACAAGAAATGTAGAAACGAAAACTGGTGGTCAGTCAAGTGCAAAACAAGCACCCAGGAGACTTTATTCACATTGCGCGGTCGCATTTTAATATTGCAATTATGAAATTCATCTAAATTTGGAAAATAGACGCAAGTGGAAAACGTTCTCGATTGAAAGAACGCATGTTCTTCCTGTCCTCACTCAGAATACTGTAGCGGGACTTCGTCCTTCCTCCAAAACACCAACACAGTGAAGACGATAACGAGTTGATGTTTGATAGGCCTGTGCATAGAATGATAACATCATGTCCCTTGATTGCAGATTAGCGCAGTCTTCAGGCACGAAACCGCCCAAGTTGAAGCACTGGAGGCGGTCACAAACTGGAGTCGATAAGACTGTTTGCCGAGCCAACCAAGTCTTGCGCTAGAATGTATAAATAGCAGATTGGTTAAAAGCAGAGTCAATAATTATGTTCAATGCAGGACACCAAGTAACAGTTGCGAGCTTTCATGAAAATTTCAAACTAGCTAATGATAGCGACGTACTTCGTCCCTCGAACACATCCGAATCTGGAAGCAATCTGTTTACAATAGATGTTATACGTTTATTCAGTGTGTGGTTCGCACCAACCTGAAGTACACAAAGTGACTCTCAGTTGATCGTGGCAATCGCACGATTTTGATAAAGTGAAAATGTACATCACTTGCGACAGAAATCATAACTGAATGGAGACGTCATAAAAAAAAGTTCTTACCGCTTGATTTTGCTTCTCTTCGGGAAGGCTAGCCGACTGACATATCGCGACTGAAAAGTCTAGGCCTTCTCAACCAATAGCGACCAAAACAAAGCGGCCGTGCGCGAACAGCCGTCACCGCCGGACGGACAACATATCGGCGTTCAGAGTTCTGCGAATCCTCCGGAGAAGTCACTCCCCGCGAACATTCACCGACCGCACTCCTCACCCCTCTAGCCCCTCAGGGCGACTGCCGACCGCGGCCCGCCCGCCGCCGCCGCCGTGAGCGACTCGGCACGAGCCTCACAAACCCGCCAATCCGCTGCGAGCATCGAATGCGACGTCATCACGTGTCGTTTACGTCACCCTACCGAAGGAGACGTGAAGCGCCGTCCGCGAATTTCTCGGGGCACGGAAGCACTGTGAAGGCTGTCACTAGCGGCGTTTTGGTTGCGTTTCGACTACACTGAAGGAAATGCAACTGTAACGAACCAAAATGTGGTTTACGTTCTTTCCCGAGGAGTTTTAAGGGACACGAGCTCTCATTTCGCTGCTAGACCCAGATACGTTACGCACTCATTCGCCTCGGAGGGAGAGCGCCTTTTCACGCCTTCGACGCGCGCGCCATCTGGAATCTTGAAAAGTTCCTATCGGAGATGAAAATCGAGGAGCGCTCCCTCTTAAATAAAAGCTACGACCGATCAAAAGATTAAAAAGGAAAAAAAAAAAGATCACTACATACTCCATCTCATCATCAGTCGACTTTTTATAATTCAAAGCTCACAGGGACACTAAAATCCTGCAAATTAACATACTTTGAATTAAGAAAAAAAAACACACACTCAGACTGTTTGCTTTTTATTCAGTACTCGCCGGGAAAAGTTGTTCTCTGCTTGCCTCCGCTAATCGAGACGCATAGTTTTCCGCTAATGAGGATGTGCAGTATAACTACGCTCTAGAAATGTGTAACCTTTTTTAGGGTGCCTTCGGCAGTTTACCAAAAAAATTTGCAAAATTGTACTCTATAATGGCGCAAACAATTTCCACTCGCCCACTTGGCACGTAAAGCGACGTGATCGTTCCTCGGACCATCCACTTGCACAATGTCACTATGCGAAAGCGGACTACAGACCACAACATGTTTGTTGACCATCAATGTATTCAATAAACAAAACATCTCGTAGGACGTCACGATGCGCGTGTCCACAGCCATACGGTTTGATTCGGTGTGGATTGGCCGCTTTAACTGCCTCGTCTGCCTGGCGGCTTGTTCGTGCTCTGCGCTCGTTCCTTTTTTGTGCATGGGTGCAATTTAAGCTTGGTCAGCATAATTGCGAGGCCTTTTCATGCTCCTAAAGTTGTGGGACTTGTCGAACACGTAAATAAATTCTTCAAATTAACCAGTCTCAGAAGTTAAAGTGTGAATTACCGGACATTTTATTTTCATAGACTCGCGCGTGTAATTACAGGGACTACACCCTCGCTTTGACTTAACCGAAATATTGAATAAAGTGGCTTTGAATTACCGAGAGTCAACCGTAGCAAAGGGTGAAAACTACAGTGTCCGCAAGTCGCGAAGCACACGACGGCTCTCCGACACGCTTCCTGGGGTCCGATTTTGGTTACTGCGAGAGTGAGATCTAATTTGCCTCCTGCGGAACGAGCGGAGATAACGTTCATAGATGGACCATAAGAAGTAGGTTGTCCGCCGCAAACCGAGTGCGGCGGCCAATTGACATTGGGTGCAGGCCGCAATTGCGATCGTCCGCTATTTAGCGCCGGAAACCATCGACAACTCGAGCTTTATTTGCAAATCTCAAGTTGTTCCGCCGCCGTACACAAGATGGATGGACGAGGACGCAAGAAGCATTGAGACCACCCTCGGCTCTTGTACGTATAGTAGTGGCCAATCGCCAACTCGCAAAAGGGTAAAGAACGTCCGATCGGTCGATTAGGCGCAATCTACGGTGCCACTTCCAACCGGCAGCCAAGAGCGCTTTCGGCTCGACATAAATTGAAGCTCCAGGGCTCCTGCTTCTGCCAAGGCCCCGGCTCATGGGAGCTTGGCGGCAACTCTGAGCTTGGCCGAGCGGCTCCGGGGATTCCGCTCCACTTCTTGGACACTGGGCAAGCCCAACGTCCCTATGGGTTCCCAGACGCGCCTCCTGGCCACCTCCATCTCCTCACGGCCGTGCCACGTTGCAGCGTTGCGGTACTTCTGGGCGATGGAGCCGCTCACGGGCTCGTCCAGGTCGATGCCCTGCAGAAAACACGGGCGCGGTTGAGTCCCAGAAATGCGTCCAGAAAGACCGGTGCGTCCTTAACGATTTGCTGTGCACCCGCAGACGTGGTACGAGGGCCACGTACTGGACTTGGCAGACACCCGTTCTGCTCCGAGTTGTTCTCCGACAGTCCTTCGAAACCAAAACCATTTTTCTGTGCGGCACGGCCGCACAGAAAAATGAAAGAGGCGACGGGTGTATGACCTAGTGATGCCATGTCAATGTGCAAGGTCTCACCGCTTTTCAAATAGACCGTGGCCGACACCAACCGGCGGAATCTTCCTATACCTCCCGCTGGGACTTTAATTGCAGACGGCAGTGCCAAACCTCCCCTAACGGGCGTTGGGTTTCTCCAAAAACAATAAGAAATAAACAAAGCAATACGTGCGCCGTTGCATGGCAATTACTAGGTTATGGGGAGGATGTGAGAAGTGTTGTCCCTCCTCTCCCTCTCTCTCACCCTCGGCAGCAAAAGGATGCGAGTTCGTTCAAAGTTCGGAGCAACCTCCAACTCCAAACGAACTTGCACCCTAATGTCGCCGATGTTGGGAGAAGAGTTAACTCCTCCCATTGCCGCCGTCTCGTTCTACTACAAAACAATGTAATGGCAATATCTTTTTTAGAAAAAAAGTGTGTTTACCTTTTTCTGCGAATGTCCGACGCTTCCAAAACGATTGCACTTGACTTTGCGTCACTCGATTAAGATTGGCTCGGCCACAGTGCACGTTCAGTGACAGCCACTTCTCAAAATTAGATCATCAATCAATGAATGCAAAGTGTGCCCAGCCGCTGGTGTTTCGCGGCTCAAGATGGGCGCACATCGCCAGTCTAAGCACAAGTCCAAACTTCTTTTGCAAGTTTTCTTTTTATTAAGCACGCTTTAATACAAAAAAAACGTTCATTCACGGCACAACGAAGAAATAAAATCTACATGAAACGACTCACTGATCTGCAATCACACATTTAACTTTGCAGTAATTAGCGACAGTGATTCGACCACCACAGTCTCTTGCAGGTTCCTTCTGCAGCGCAAGCTGCTGCACGCACATGCTATTGAGCTGTACGGTGCGTTAACGCCGATCCCCCCACACACTCATTTTAACATAAATTCCCTGTCCCTTCTGACCTTCTACAATAATTCTATCATAATGAAACATACATCATCAAGTTTTCGGCAAGTATAGCAGCCCCTGCCTTTACCTCTCGTCACTCGAGAACCCAAAGAACTTGGCAGAGCTGTTGCTCTGCCAAGTTGTGGCAGAGCGGAATTAGAGCAGCACTCAGTCGACCCATATGCAAGGTGCCATTTGATTGACGTACTAGTAGGCAATACACACCGATGACCAACAGGTCAACGCCACTGCCCGCTGCCGCAAACGAAAACCACCACCGCGCCGCTGACAGAGGCGCTGTCGAGCAGCCGACGCATCAGCGAGCGCAGCAGCCGACGCGCAGCTGTTCTCAACGGTCAAAACAACAAAAAAACAACCAACCAATGAGAACAAAAGTATGAGGGCGAAACTTTAGCTAACCAGAATATTTGTTTCACCTTACCAGGATAATTTTCGAAATTTGCAAGCAGCAACGATAATAGGTATCTCATCTTATTAAATAAATTTTCCGGCATAAACCGGAAGTTCATAAGATAATATCAACGGATAAGAGGTGGCATTCAAGTAGCTGGCCGGAAGTCGCTCGAAGTTTCCGCCGGTTGTTGATACCGCCAATCCAGCGATAAGAATGTGCCATGTGACCTTGCGTTCCACGAGCCCCCAAGTCAAATCAAAAAGTCTCATGCTCTCGGTAAACCCCCCATGTGTTTGTCTCGCGAGCATGCAGCCTCAAATGTGCCAGTGCACAATGCCCGTGCCTCAAGCAACCCTCGGAAGCAAATGGCGGTGCAGCACTCGCTTGTGGCACGCGAGGGGCTTTAGCTCTAAGAGCCGCTTTGGCTTCGCTGGCTCGTATCGCCCGCTCAACATCTCGGCCATTTTCTGGAACAACTCGCATTTGCAAAGAGCATGCTCAGTGGCATATCTCGGCAAGAGTGCAGTTTATACACTGCTCCAATGTTACAAACTCCACGGCCCAGCATGCGCATGTTTGTCTCTTGGCAAAATGAGCAAACGCACAAAACCTAAAAACAGCACCGACCAGAAGCCCTTTTTTTGGAAGGCTTCTGCTTCATCATCTGCGTCGAAACACCTTACCGTTTTTCACATCCCCTTCGTGAACCAACTAGAGCACTCGTATTGATCCCGTGACAACCGTGAATGTCTATACGCATTCACAAAGCTCAAAAGGCGAGGAGACGCACGTTCGGCCGAGTTTACGTGGCTTGCCAGTAGCGTCGTTGCATCGCGCCAGTGCTCATCCCAACCTGTTGGTGACAAAAGGAAATTCGGCGGTACAAAATGCACTCTTCCAAAGGTCACCAGAGAGACCACCCTAGGATTCCAATGGCAGCTGATGCGATATTGGGGCAGGCCATACAAACACTGAGCTCGTGTCTTTGGCTTCGCTCGCACTCGCAATAAAATGGAGCAGCCTCCATTTTATTGGATTACGGCTAGTCCACCGTAATCCAGCCTCGAGTCTCGTGCCGAGATGCAATAGACCTCGTTCATTACTAGCGCCATCTTTCGGCGTTCCTCGTGTCTTCTTTTCCAGTATATTGATGGTGCCAGCAGTTTGAGAAGTTTGTTTTCAGTGGTTTCGCTAGGAATTAAAGAAGGAGCTTCATTCCAGTGCACCAGAGCAGACCCACTCGCACATTTTTTCAGAATTATATTGACTTGCCGGACCAGTGTTCCGACTGCTTGCACAAGGACAATTTCTGCGATATATTTAGCGGGGCCGTCAGCCCCCGCGTGAAAGCGTCCCTTCTTGGGAAAATATGCTCGGGTAAGAATGCAAAACCTCACTCCACGGTACAGGCACTGCCTTCCCTCTCCCCGTCGTTTCTCGCAGATGGCGAGGCTCTCTCTCGCTGGAGGCCTCCGCTGTTCAGAAAAAAAAAACCCGCGACCAGGGGGCTTTTCGCCTCCCCATCATTTCTGCTACATCTTTGTACCTGTCGCGACTAGCTTGGTGCTAGCCGCGTGTACGTGGGCAAGGAAGCAGCGGACCACAAAAAGACCCGAAACACAAGTGAGCTTTACCGATAGCTTCCACGCCGAAGGCGATAACACGCGCTACCTTCGCGCATGCACCTTGTGTATCAGAACGTGGCGCGTCATGCTACATCGCCTTTTCGGAAAGTGAAAGACCATTACACAAAAATGACTATGGGTTCAATCGCACTGGTGCTTTCGCTCTTCTACCACATAGTGCGAAGCGTCCTTGAGGGACTGCACCATCACCAGCACCTTGATCATCCTGCAGCGTCGTCGTTGTCGTTGGCTGCGGCCGTGGAGTTCAGCAAACCCCCGGGCTCGATGGGCCCAACATCGAATCCTCGCCGACGGGAACCGCGGTGCTCGTCACTGCCACCCGATGCGTCTTGCGCGTGAATGTTTCGCCGCTGTGAGTCCGACTTATCGAACGGCACCAAGTGTCGGCGACTGCGCCAGATAACGGCCGACGGCGTCTCCAGTGTGCGGACAATTTGCTGAACACGGCACCTTGGTCGCGCAGTTAACGTCGTTGGCCCACGCGTCTTCCCCAACAGACAAAGGTCGAAGGCGCTGAATGCGGTGCTGCCGAATGAAGTGCTTAGCCTGTCGGCTGTGCGCCACTTTGTCTTTACGTTTTAAGTCTTTCTTCGACGGCAAAGCAGAAATGGGGTCTTCCTCCAACTTGGGAACTCTAGTCTGGAGACGTCGGCCGAAGAGGAGCAGCGACGGAGTGTGCCCGCTGATGCCTGGCATGTCGCGGAACACGAGGAGAGCCAGGTGTGGGTCCTGCGACCTGAAGAGCTCTTTCATCGTGCGCATTCGCTCGACTTCCCCATTTGCTCGCGGATACTTGGGGCTGCTGGTAACATACCCGTAGGTAGAAGCATAGGATGCGAACCCCGCCAAGAAAATTATGGCCCGTTATCTCGGACCACGACATGCCAAAGTGGGCGAACAAACTCTTCACCGCTCCGATGACGGCCATGGACGATGTGGAAGTCGGGCTCACGACTTGGGGGAAGCAAGGCACTACGTCCACTATGGGGACGTAGTGCCTTACTTCAAGCTTAAACATGTCGATGCCCACTCGCTGCCAAGGACGATCTGGCGCCCAGAGAAGAGGTTCGGAGCGCTGCACCCTGGTCTGTGCCACCGCTCGCATCCCGTGACGAGCTGCTCCATCTCACTGTTGACGGAGGGCCACCACACTGCATCTCGGGCCCGTGCCTCGCAGCATCCAAGGCCCGGTGGCCTTCGTAGATGGGCCATCCTTCTGAAGACATTTCGGAATGATGATACGGCGGTCCTTGAGCAATAGTCCATTGCAAACCGTGAAACTGCCGGGCACTTTTCAGTAGTCGCGCAGGCCTTCTCTAGCCAGCCGCTTTCACACAGCCGAAGCAATCCTTCGCAGCCCTGTCTTCCACCTGATGACGACAAAGACACTCGAGACGAGACAATGTCAAGTGTTCAAAGCCACTGACCACCTCGCTGACGAAAAGTTTGACCGAGTCAATCTCGTGGCCTCGGTTCACTTTCCTAGTCGCCGCCAGGGGCGCTTGAGAAAGAGCATCCGCCGTTGCCAAGAGCTTGCTCGGAACGTAGTGCACCAGCTAGCTAAATTGCTCATCTACAGCCGGGAGACTCGTCGCCCATTGAGGCAGACGAAGTTCTAGGCTGTATAAACATGCACACACACCATTTGTTTTCCTACATCTTGAAACTTTTTCTTAAAATGGGAGTCACGTGACAACAAAGATACATTGTAAAGTAGGAGAGCGTTCACCTTTGCGTTTTAGCCGTGCTGTCTTTATATTCACGCGCAAAACAAAGTTGTTACGTTGCCTAGCTCTTCCGTGCCAGCCATCGATCGGGTATAGAAAACCTACTTGAGGGAAAAGTGCACAGTGGTACGTCCGAGTGGTGTTGACTGGGCTTCGCCGTTGCTCTGCACGAGCGAGGCTACGATCCTAGCCAACATAAAGCTACAAAAAAATAACAGAATCTCGCTGATGCTTTATCGAAATATCAAGAGCCCTTCATGGCAATAATGGAAAGTGCCATGTATTAAGAAAAGGACCCCAGTAGAGGCACGCAACATTAAGGCGCCCTTTCAGGAGCACAAACAATACCGGAAAGTGGCTATTCAAATGTTGGCTATTAATACCTTTATTTTAAAAATAAAAACATCACGATCCAAATCTTTAGATTGGTTGTTTTTCATTTTCTTTCCTCCTCGGTAATGTGGCAGAACACAGCAGTCGGGCGGTTGTTGTCCGCCATTTCACACGCCACAAACGGCCACTGCGCTTTGCCAGCCGCCTCAAAGAGGGCGTCGGAAGGACGCTTAGTGGCATGTCCGACAGTTGGTGGGCGACTCTGCATGAGGTCTACAGTCTGGGCAATTTAGAAACACATAAAGGAAGATGGGCAAGTGAATGGTTGAGATGTATCAAACGGATGCCGCTCTGGAATTACTCCGGCACTCACTAAGAGCATGGGCCTTTTCGGTTTGGCCGAGTGATTCGCAGAGCTCGAGGTCACCTTGTGCTGGCTTAGCTGGAATAGAGTCACTCTGGAATAACTCGCTGCATAGGCCGTGGTCACCTCTTGAAAGCGAAAGGAAGGCGTGCGGCAGCGAGGTATTGCGCGTCGACATAGCATCGCTACGTCATTCATACAGCGTCTCAGATATTGCTCAGATCCATTCTCTGGACGACGAAGAATTTTCGCAGTTTAACTGCAAACCGATTTCGGCCGTGCTAAGTGTCAAGCAAACGGTGTGCGCCGCATGCATTTGCTTGACCCAACTTTCCGTGCCTATAAACTTGAAGTTGTCGGCGCCCGTGCACGCACGCGGCTTGAGCACTGCTCAAAGCTGTAGACGCGCGCTCCTCACTTCTAAATTGCGGCAGAAAGATTTTCCCGGAGTATAAAGTATTTCAGAAAATGGCTGCAGGCCTGGGCCATTTTTAGCGTTTGTGCGTATGGTGCATGCTTTGCTCGATTCCGATTGCACATCACCATAAACGTGTGAAAGCAAAGAAGAATTATAGAAAGAAAGCACTGTTAGCATTTTGATAAGATGCCAGAGGGCTTTGTTTCACTTTCAAATTTTTTATGCAGCGTGCGTGAGCAGACACTGACAAATGCTTATGCGGAGCGCTAGATCGTCTGGTTCTTGCACAGGGGTTGCGATGATGTCAGATTGCCGAGCTCCAGCCACTATCCTTCCAATCAAAGTCAATCACAGCTCGGCGTCGTTCTGACATCACCGCAACTCCCGAGCAAGAAACAGACGACTTGTTCTCCGGCCTAAAAAATCGTAGCCGAGCCAATGCTTGTTCACTGATTCGGAAGGCGAACAAAGCACCCACGATACACACAAATTCTTCATATTGCACCGGCTAGAAGCCCTTTCTTTACAAAATACTGGACTGAGAATATTGCACAGCCCAGCACGCGCATGTTCGTCGCTCCGGAAAGCCAGCAAAGAATGCACCGTGCATTTGAGAGCCGAAAACGACACTGGCCAGAAGCCCTTCTCTCTCTACGGCCGTGACTAGCGCATGAGCGGACGCTAATCATTGTATATTTGCGTTTAAAGTCTTAATTGTATAAAGCCAAGATTAACAACACAATTTTCGCCCGCGTCGACGGGCAGAAACGGTGGGACCAGTTTTGAGGAGGCAGCCCACCTGGAAGTGCCTCTTGACCAGGCGGTCCTCGAGCGAATGGAAGGAGAGCACGGCCAGGCGGCCGCCGGGCCGCAGCAGGCGCCTCCCAATGGTCAGGGCGTGGTTCAGCTCGTTGAGCTCGTCATTGACAAAGATGCGCAGCGCCATGAAGGTCTTGGTGGCCAGGTGCGTCGGGCGTCCCAGCATGTCTCGACGCTCGCCCAGGCTGCCCTCGACAAGAGCGATGAAAACGTGGTACGTGAGCGAAAGGTGCCTCCAACTGCGTGTGCCCTAATTGCGGTTGTTTAGAAACTGCGTGGTACGGGTAGTTTTTTCAGTTTATTGTTGCTCCACCAGAACTCCCTTAGTCTGGATGGATGAAGCAGGATTGGAAGATAACAATGGGGAACACTTCATGAAAAGAAGTTAGCGCAAATGAGAAAGAATAGTACCTAAAGGCCCAGCTTTTGCTTCGGACACTGGCACGCTGGCGCCATCTGAGGTCACCCTTAAACTGCATGCGCTACTTGCCACATCAAATGTTATCTACGAGAAACGATTGACATTGTCAAAAGTTATTAGAACCAGTAAAAACACCATTTACAATGTAGAGTTGAACCGCACCGACCCAACTTTGGTGTCGCTCATTTCTCGACAAAACTATCAAAGACTCAAACACATTGCCACAGAGCGTTTCTACTGGCGTTTCTGCCGTAGAGGCATTTGAAAAATATTTTTGAATTTGTTTTTTGATATCAACTGATGTTTTGTGTAACTTGTTCTGATATATTTTTATAAGTACACATCGCAAAATTGCCTCTCGCAACACCGCGTAAGAGCTTAAAATAAATAATGCCGGAGAAAACTGACATACTATAGGTGCTCCACAGCCACCCGATAGACGGTGCATTCGTTGCAAGAAAGAGGAGGCGGACAAGCTCTCGCAAGTGCGTCACCTCAACGCGCAAATATTTTGATTAACTTTTGTGCGTCTGTTGACACTCCAGATGAGCCCGCATGCTTTCCCCCCAACCTCAGCCAATGACAGCGCACGCTGCCTCGTCTTCGCGTGTTGCCTTTCGACTGGTATGCTTACCTCTCGCGTTCCAATGCGCCAAAAAAGGTCGTCCAGTGGATGTGTCGCACTCACCCGTCGCTGAGCGCCGTCTCCACCAGCTGGGCCAGCTCCCAGGTGGTGTCGATGGAGCGCATCATGAACCGGGAGTCCACGATGGCCTGTGCCACTTTCTTGGCCTTCTTCTCCTCGCCATACACCTTCAGGATCCGAGCCAGGGACTCGTAGTCCAGGGAGTTGACCACGTCGGCGGCCGTCGGCTCGTTCGGGTACCTAAAAACATTTTCCATTCTCTCTTTTCTCCGCTTTGAGCGCCTCATTTTATTCCGCACCATGTCTGCTCTTACGTGTCTCGGATTTCTTGTTTCTTCCCGTAAACCGTTCAAACGCAATTGTATTGCAATGGTTAGTACAGTAGGCTCGCGATAATTCAAACTCGAATATTTTGTACATACCGGTTAATTCAAACAGATCTGAAAATTTTGGTTGTCCCGCTATGTTTTTAATGTATTTATGAGCCGCTTAATTCGAACGGCGTTTCCGCTTAATTCATACTTTTTTGTTCTCGCGGCCCCGTTGAGTGCGCTTCTTTCCGAGCACCGGTGCACCGCAGAGAAGCAACACCCGCAAAGCTTGTTTTCGCGAGTGTTGCTTCTCCGCAGCGCACCGGTGCTCGGAAAGAAGCGCACTCAACGGGGCTCAAGCAGGCACACATTAGCGGAAAACGGCATTCACATTATGTGCTTCAAGACTAGCAATGATGACCAAGACGACATCGAGGATGAGGAACAGCTCACTGACATCATGCTTTCTGGCCTTGAAGCACATAATGTGAACGCCGAGCTGGCAGAATATGCTAGTCTTGACGACAATGTGTGTTTGTCGTGATAACTCATTAGAGGACATAAGGAAGTAATGCCAGCACAGTGCAGCAGTGAGAGTGAAGATGATGATGAAGAAAGGAATGACCCACTACCAACTGTCACAGCCGCAGAGGCCTTTGAGCACATCGCTCAGCTCCGGAAGTTTCTGTCTGCAAAGGAAGAGTCCCGTAAAGAGCTACTTGCGTTGGCTCGTGTTGAAAATTTTGTTTTGAGGTCTCATGTACTGACTAAACAGTCCACAATCGACAACTTTTTTGCCGGATGAATAAACTTAACGTCACAGTTCTTTCACCAATGTGTTATGCCTATACTTGCTTATAATTAGGCCTATGTAGAGGAAACTGGCAAAAATCTGCTTTGTATGTGTAGCTATCCATGTAACAAATCATAATGTTGTCTAGTATCATATTTAGATGAATTTCTGATAATTCAAACTAAAATCTGTGACTTCCTGGAGTTTGAATTAATGAGAGTCTACTGTAGAGACCTCCTTGGTAGAGGCAAAGTCGGGTGGCTTAGAGTCTACCGACTAATTGGTGATGCGGATGAAATTCAAGCTCGCTCGTAAGGTCGTCGGTTCCGTTCTTGTTGGGGCACGCTTAGAATTTCTTTCTTCTCCATTGACCGCTCTTTTGTACAGATTGCCTTCTTAAGTACATGTTAGACATTTCATAATGGTTTCCGTGGCTTTCCGTCACACTTTCCTTTAAAATCTCCCTTCCGGGCCTGGCCCGTGAGAAACCAAATAAACTTCAAACTTCAAAAATGATGCAAAACTGCAAAAATGCTTTTTTGCGGGGCTTAAATGGGTTGCATAATTAAAAAGAAAATGTTTCCACGCTAAAACAATTTTATAGCGCATGACGCGATTTCGGCTCTAGGCCCCACCCATAACAAAAGGAGCGTAGCTTCCTTTTTTAGCTCTTATCGGTTCGAGAGGCGATTGACAGGTTCATTGCAAAAAATTGTTTCTCCGTGCCGTAATAGAATTTTTATCGACAATATCTTTATGTTCGAGATGGAGATAGGGTAATTATTGTTTTCAAAAATATTGCGAGATCATCTTTTCTGCTTCGGTTTCAAACGATAACAAACGTGGCTGTCTGCGGCGAGCAGTTTATTGCGCCGCGTAACTCGGTGCGAGTTGTTTCGCGTCCACTGAGATATTAGCAAGATCTCAACCAACATGGTTTGCAGCCAATGACTGTCGCAAGTACACAGCTTCGGAAGTGCCGTGTGGCTGCTTGATTTTAAAGCAAGACAGGCATAAGCCTAGCATCCCACGCCAACTATTTTTCTTCTGATCTGGATTCATTTGCTCGTTTGCGCGTGCGGATGTCCAATAAATACGTTGGGTTCAGTACCGAGAGGTAATTTACACAGGCAAGAACTTGCGGACCATTTGGCTAAAAGAAATTGGGTGTTTGCCTCACATTGGTTGGGTCAGGTATTTGTATTTGCAATCTACAGCGCACAAGAACCATTCAAACTCAAACACGCGCACCAGTGAATGTGAATCATTCTCTCAGCACTGACTATCTACTCAGTGTGTTTTGCCTTCTACACTTTTGCACATCAACCACACTTTGTTATTTTCTCTTTGTTACGAGGGAACGTAACTCTTTCTTGGATAATGCTAAAAAGGAGTTGCTAACACATTTTTCGTCTAGCTTCACAATGTTCTCATCCTCAATAATTTATCTCGTGAGCTGTTGAAATTTGTTGTCTTTTTTTTTCAATCAACGTATTTGCAGCTTTTTATAAGCCACAAAAAATAGGTATCATATTTTTTCTACATTTCTAGAATTGAGTGTGTGCCTTCGATGACCCACGACTTTGATTATCTTTGGTGGTTGTGTCTAAACCATGGAAAATGGCACGTGACCACGGAGAAGAGAGTGAGCGTGACAACAGGCCAGTTCTTGATCGGCGATTTTTGGGCGGAAAGAAAACGAATATCGTAGCGAGCATAAATACTCTGCCACTGCCCCTTTATTTCACACATTTGGCACAAACACAAATGCAGGACGACGAGCAAGACACAAACACAATGGAATAAGAGGGGAAAATGGTGCAAAAAAAGCAACTACCGAATGGAAAAATGCTTCAGAAATTCGTGACTAAAAGTAATCGGCATTCCCAAGTTGACGAGAGTGCCAATTACGTAGCTTGAAGGATGCCTCAAACAGTCCAGCTTTACACACAAATTCAATGGGAATTTCATGATCCCATGGATCGAGCTTCCAAAAGACGAGTGGCTCATTCGCGAGATGTGCGTACCAATACAGTGCGATCCATTTATAACGATACCACATATAACGATGTATTGCTTTTAACAATTAGTTTCTAGAGTTTCTGGTCTAGAAACTATCAGATTCTAGTCCAGATACAACGATAATCTGTTATAACGATTGAAATTTTGGGTTTTCTCGTCATCGTTATAAATGGATTGCACTGTAGAGCCTTTTCAAAAGCTTTGCCACTTAGTGGCTGCTGCGCTAATTATCCCAGTCAACCGTTGTTTGGCCACGCACTCTAGGCACGTATTGGGGGCTGCGTTGGCATTTGGCATTCAGCACGACCTCGACTCGACTCTGATCCAACCGTGCCCAAGAAAGGGCGACCGCCAATGTTGCTCGACGGGGTTTTGCAAAGGGTCTGACCTCTCCGCGTCCATCCGCATGTCCAGGGGTCCGTTGGTGCTCAAGGCAAACCCTCGCGAGGGGTCGTCAAACTGCATCGAGGAGCAGCCACAGTCCAGGATGGCTCCGTCTACGGAGTTTGGCTCCACGCCCAGCTGCTCTAGCGTTTCCTCCACTTCGCTGAACCTGCTCAGCACTGGAAACAGCCGTCCCCTGGGGAGACGGGATCAAATTTCTTCGGCCAATATGTATACCCGGGGCGCCAAGTTCCATAATGGTTCCAGGCTTTCCCCCACATAACCCAAATGTAGAGAAGCAACAGCTTCACATTTTTTCAGCTGATAAGCAACTAGGGTGTCAAGTTCCCCGACATTTCCATCGCATAACCTAAATGTAGGGAAGGAAACAGCTTTACATTTCTTCAGCCGATAGGTAACTGGGGTGTCAAGTTCCATCCTATAGCCTCAGCGTAGGGAAAGAAACAGCATCACATTGTTTCAGTGAAAGGCACCGTATACATTTCTAAACTTTCTGATACATCAGGATTTTCCTTAACTAATTTGACAGCGCGAAACTGTCTCAGGTGACTGATGAAAGTACAACAGTGGGCCATTGTAGACTGCGACTTGCTACAAAAAAAAAGAAAAAAAAGCTACAAAAGAACTGGGCTCATGTTTGAAAGTTCCACTTGTCCACCGACAAAAAAGTGCTAACATTTGAGTCACGAGTGATGCACTACGTCGTGCCCTTCGACCGAAAATGGCTACGCGCACGATGCAGAGAGAAGCTCACGCTATTTGGTTAATTTAGGGGTGGATTTTGTCTCCGTATGAACCTGCGTTTATCGACATATTTTTTTTTACAGTGATAGCTGTAAACAAAAATATGTTGTCCATAGTGTAGGGCATTTGTCATCTATATCGCCAAATGCTCAAAAAAGGAATGCTTGCCGCCCTCAGGATTTAATCCTGGGTCCACCGTGTGTGAAGCGTTACCACAGAGCTGTGACACAGCGTTGACAATCCGTTTTATACACTTTTATATTTTTTGACAAAGTGCGCAATCAAATCTGGAAGCCGCTAGAAGCTACTGCGTGATTTGCATCATGAGTATAGCCATTTCTGGTCGCGGTGCACGTGGTGCGTATAGCATTAGTCCTGTCACAGTGAACAGTTGCTTCTGGGATTTTCAGAATGCATGAGTCAAAATAGGTAGCATGTTTATTGCACACTTTTATTGTGTTTGTAATTATTCGCGAGTTTGTTTCACTGCACTCGTGCCCACTTGCAGCGTGGATAGAGTTTGTTCCGGCCGGCACTCCACCTGTGGCTGCACTTTCCGAGTTTGATTTGGCGCTCCACGCGTGCATGCACTCGCTGCACCGAGAGAATCGAGCGTGCACCAGAATGCAATCTTGTCAAGCCCCGCTCAGGCAAGCTGGGAGAGCAGACGACGGGGAATCGTCTGCTACTGATCTGTTACAAGCTGCCACTTGTGCAAAGCAGAACCAAAAAGAAAAGTAGATTTTCTGCTAGAGATTGCAACCCGCGACAGACGGAATCGGACGCGAGCTTGAATTGTGACTTTCTGCTATTTCATGAAGGAAGCAATCGACAACCCAGACTTTCGCAAGTTTCGAGCCGTTTTGCAGTCATACAGTCGCCGAAATCTACCGACAAGTAAAATGGCTTGGGACAAACATATCAGCCGCCCCGAGATCTCTCTCACGGGTGAAAAGTTATCACCAAGATATGGCCGATTGTGGACTCACGAACCAACATTTGTCAAGAAAACTCACCCAGCAGAACCTGTGATGTGTCCAATTAGCAGCCAAGAAAGCCAAACATGCTGATTTTAACCTAAGCTTGGGTAAAATCACCATGTCTACCTACACCAGTTACTTTGCACCCCCGTTATTTAACTCTGATAGCCTTGCCCCACTATGGCGACAGACACCGATTTTTGCCCGGCGACACCGCAAAGTTTCGTGTCGCTGATGCTGTCCCATTTTAACGACCAACACCCCCGACAAACGGTCAACAGCGGACAAGCTCTTGTTTGTCCTTGGACTTAAAGCGCAGCAAGCAGTCCCACTGAGGAACATCTCTCGGAGACAAATTTATCCTCCTTACCCACTTGTACTCTCCGCCGCCGCTCTTTTCACCTTTCTACTCTTCCTCCCGTTCCTCCCGTGGCTCGCTCTGCCGCTTGACCTTCGGTGAAGGCCTTGACGGCCACTGATTGTTCCTGCAGTTCCCGTCCCTCGACTGCTCGTAGTGGTCGTGGCTTGCTTGCTGGCGGTCGTGTTTCAAAAGGGAATTTGCTGTGGCTGGTTTTGCTCACGAAAACCTGGCACGCGAGGTGGTGCTTCAAGACGCCGAAGTCTACGCCCCTCCATCAGGATGGACACACCAACGTTCGAAGACTGACCAAAGTAAAACCGCTCACCACGAAGTAGGATGCGACATTCTGGCAAGCCATTCCTTCAGGCGAGAGACCCATCATCCAGTTCCATGATAATCGGGATGCCTTATGTCCCCAACAAAACGCCTGCCCTCCATCATATGAATATAATTCATCCTCGAAAACCAGCGTGAAATTTCGTGGCGCTCACCTCGAATGACCTAAGTAATGAAAAATTCGGGAATTCTAGTTCATAAAAAGTTTGGTGTCGATTGTCACGACGGTTCACAGAAAGTCGCCCAAGGCAAATGAAGACTAGTGGGAGCTTTAATTAAGAAATAAAGTAATCGTCTCGACTTTCACCGTGTTTGCACGTTTTTTGCCCAAAGATTGAAACACAAAGATCACGTCGCCAGACTGTTTGTCTGTCTATTTTGAAGTGCTTTGTTGACAGATTCAAAACCACTAGGAAACAGGTTTCATAGTCCCCGTGTTCTGCGTCGTGTCCTCCAGGTGGGACAGCGGACTCCGAGAAACAAGCTGTCTGTCAGTGTTGTTAGTCGCTGTCGTTTGTTGCTGTCCGTCGCTCCAGTGGGACGCGGGCTATGACTAGAACAACTTTCCTCAATGCACAATTTTCGACCATCGATGCCATATTGGTATCATTTCAAGAATGCTCTTTGTTTGCACCTAGAAGAACGATGGTGAGGCAGTACACATCAAAAGAACCAAAAAAGACAAACCGAGACGTACGGGTATTCGGTGGCGATCGAGCAGGCAGCCCTGTACGCTGTTGGATCCCTGTCCACGCCGAATACCTTGACGTCTTTCGCCGCACTCAGTAAGGCTTTGCTGTGGCCTCCGGCACCGAAGGTGAAGTCGATCAACGTCTTTGTTGGGGACGCAGAGAGGCAGCTTCATTAGACACTGGATGACGAGACGGGCATTCGACTCACCTGACCGTCCTGAACGTTGAGAGCGTCTATGACTTCCGTGAGCATAACCGGGGTGTGCGTGAACCGTTCGGCTTCAAGCTGAGAAACAGCGCTCGAAAGTTGCTTCGCCTTCAGCGCGGCCGCGAGGCGCCTTGAAAAGCTCCCAGAGAGCTTCCCAAGCATCTGGAGGATTGTTTGCGGTTTGCTTTCGAAACGCGGCAAATTTGATAGTTTTCTCACCGTGCCTTCAATATTTGATCAAATCCAGCGGCGCCAGCTTCACCCATGCATGCTTGCAATGCAGACGATCGTGGGCCACCGGATTCGACTTTGGATTTGGATCGTATTTGGTTCCTGTTTGATCTTGATTGGGATTTGGATACGACTTTTGGCAGTCACCATGACGTCATTAACAAATTCTTCGCACGATGGCGCACGTACTTGCGCCGGTTACGCTTACGCTTGTGGCGATAGTAGTCGTTGATTGATGCCTATAATCTGTAATCGTAAATACCTTGAAGTCCGTACTAGTCAGACATCGCGTTGAAGACTGCCAGTCAGGACTAACTGAAACCAATCGACCGGGAGGTCTACGAACCCCAAGCAACACTCCACATGGCAACTGCCCTGCGATAAACTTGTGGACCTTGTTCATCCCCGCTCGAATCACTCGGGCCAAGGCCTTCGTTCTCGCGCCGCGACGTTGAATGCGCGGTGATACGCCGCCCAGAATGGACGACCTCAACGACCACAGTGGCACCGACGACGACGACGTGCCGGGCGAACTGGATGACGACATCGAGATCATCGAGTACTACGAAGGCAGCGGCGACAGCGACAGCGACGAGGCCGACCACGACGTCGAAGGTGAGGCCCCTTTCCCGGAGCCCAGTCGAAATGACGCCGCCACCACGTTCCGGGAGCACACGGGCTCGGTCTTTGCCTGCGCCGTCTCGCCCGACGGCAAGCACGTGGTCTCTGGCGGCGAAGACGACCGAGGCTACGTCTGGAACCTCCAGACCGGCGAAACACTGTTCCAGTGCACGGGCCACAAGGATTCGGTCACGTGCGTGGGCTTCAATTACGACTCCACGTTGGTGGCGACGGCCGACATGAGCGGCCTCATACGCGTCTGGAGCGTGCCCGCCAAGGAGCTCGTCTGGGAGTTCGAGACCTCGGACCTCAACTGGCTCGAGTGGCACCAGGCCGCTAACGTGCTGCTCGTGGGCACGGCCGACGGCAGTGCCTGGCTGTGGAAGGTCCCCAGCGGCGACTGCAAGACCCTGCAGAGTTTCGGGCCGTCCAGCTCGGCGGGCAAGATGCTGCCCGACGGCAAGCGAGCTGTCACGGCGTACGAGGACGGGTCCGTGCGTTTGTGGGACCTCAAGGGAGGCGCCGTCACGCACGCCGTCACCGGCGCCAACGCCCATAGCGCGGCCGTCACTTGTCTCGACTGCTCGGACGACTTGGTTGTCTCGGGATCGATGGACGGAGGAGTGAAGCTTATCAACGCCGGCAGCGGTAAGGTGCTCGCGAGCCTGCGCTGCGACAGCGATGCTTCGGGCGACGGCACCAACTCTGTGGAAACGGTGGGACTGGACCCCACTGTTAAGACGCTAGCCGTCGGGATGCTGGGAGGGGACCTGGGCCTCTGGGACGTCGGCACCCTAGTACAGAAGCAGGGATGCCCGCATCCCGCCGGTGTGGTCAAGTTGCTGTGGAAGGGACCGCACTGCCTGGTCACCGCTTGCCTAGACAGCGTGGTCCGTGCCTGGGACACTCGGTCGGGGCAGGCCATCAACTCCTGGGAAGGACACCGTGCGGAGATACTGGACGTTGCTCTGGCACCCGACGGTCAGAGCGTGGTCACGGCCTCGGAAGACGGGACCTGCGCAGTCTACAGGTTCTCTCAGGACTAGTGGGACCCTCACTTCTTGCACACACGTGTATAGCAATGCTTATCTCCAAGATTCTGCCAAGCTCCTCTTAGGTTGCAGTGGGCAAAGTTGTCTTTTGCCATTGGCTGAAGGGTTGTTCTTAGTTGTCGCGTTCAGATTTTTTAAGCTTAACAAATTGGGGAATAAACTCGCTCGCTTCCACGCTTTGTCGGAGTAAAATCTTTATGAGAGTCAAACAGTTCCTTCCAGACTTTGAATGGTACATGAAACAGCTCAATATTCTTCCAAATGACACTGGCAGTGCCTCGGCTCGAGACTGACAATCCAGTTGGTGTGGGGGGCACATTATTAGAACACAGCTGAAATCTTCACAACCAAGGGCCAGTAAAAGCCCCCACACAATACTTTTGAATAATATCCAAAACAAGCTTCATTGTGACCATAGTTTTGTGCAGTATAGAACACTATGCGCTTGGATACAGGAGCAGTAAATAATTGTCTTAGGAGCCATGCTTGAGCTTAGGTGACACCATCACACCGATATCTAAAATAGACAAGGTAAACGGAATGTGCTGGAAAGGATTGGGTGCATGTGCTTGACAAAGACATGTGCAGAGGACAAGTAATATTTCATCCTCATTGACAATTATACAAAATATAGTTGCTTACGTGGGGTGCAAAATGTTGGTCCAAAATGCCACGCATAGTCTCAAGTCGCATGGGATGTGTCTTGGCATGTGTAGGCTATACTTGGTTGGTCTTTTGAGACTGTTAGGCTAAATGACTAAGTACATTTTTTGGCATGTAAGGATGGAGCTGCTACTTGGCTCCAAGGGGCAAGTCCAATGCAACCCAGGGTGGCCCCCCTGAACTATGCATTCAACGTAGCCTATACCTATAAATTATTTCCCTGTTCCGTCCAAAGTACAATCTCATGAGCACAAGTCTCTGGCTGCATAACACTGACAAGTGCAAAGTAAGCATGATTGTCATCTGCAGCATTTTCTTACGCATTTCTTGCGAGTCTAAAAAAACAAAAACAAGGCTAGCAATATTATTCTTTGAAAATGTTATCCATAAAATTCTCTTTCTAGATATATTTTCACCAGAAGCTGTTTAGGTTTCTGGATAACCAGTGCTAATATGATGACTTCCTCTTACAAAGGCAATTCTTCTGCACTTTAGGCCAGTTCTTTACATGGATTGTTACAAACAGGTACAGGAAAGCAAATCTGTGCGTACACATTCGTTGCTCAAGAGTAAGAAAGGACAACACGCTATGCATGAAACGCACCTCAACTTTCTAGTAAGGACGGCAAAGATTTTAGCTGCATTCTGAAAATTGCGGTGGACAAGTAAAAAACCTAAAAGGAGAGCATTCTAAAGCTTGCCTTTGATTGAGAATTTGGCAGCATAAGATTGGCCAAGATAAAAAGATATAACATGTGAGTGATCCCGCTAAACATTCTCCGAAGGAGGCTTCATATGCAGTTATGAACAGAAGAGGCCAGAATGCTTCCAACTGCAAGAAACCTGGCTTAATGACTTATTAGCATGTTGGTGCAAAGTGGCACCAACGTGCCAGAATTGGCCGCTCGCTCACACAGGCGGGCCACATTCTGGTGTGTGTTTTAACGTGCTGTTGAAAGTTCTGGAGAAAAAGAATGCATGTTTGTGGAGTTTCACACACTCCATGAGCTCCAAGGACCACTACACCCTTGCGCTGAAATGCTGTGAAAGGTTTCCAGGGACTCGTAATGTTCGCATAACAGCCTCATTTTGGTACCATCGGGAAAAGATGAAATGCGAACAGAGGAGCGCGTGGCTCTTGGTACAGGCTGCACCGCCTGGAAGTGAGCTTAGGGGCGAGGGTGTGTGGCCTACTCCAATGGGGATACGCCCCTCACTCGGCGCCTCCCAAGCTTTGGTGCGCCGACAGCTATCACCGCTATCGTCGCTCGTGCAGCGCAAGGAAGCTCGCCACTAGTAGCAGCTTGAGTATGTGCTACCACAGCGTGCCCGCAGTTTCATTCTTTTCACTTGCGCAGCTTCCTTGCGCCACACGCGTCGAGCGAGCAACGATGGCGGCGATAGCTTTCGGCGCGCCAAGAGGCGCAATGCCGAAGCTTGAGAAGTGCCGAGCAAAGGCACAAACACATCGAAGTAGGCCACGCACTCTCGCCCCTAGGCTCACTTTCAGGCGGCACAGTCTGTACCGAGAGCCACACGCTCCTCTGCTCGCATTTCATGTTTTCCCGGTAAGACATGACGGCTGTTTTGACCAAGCATGATGTAAAAAGGAAATGTGATGATTAAAATATGGCACCAGGTGGTGATACTATAATGCTGCTCAAGGCTGAGAAAACAAGAACCTCACAAAAAAGCATTATCTTAGACAAAAAGAAAAAAAGGAACGGTGAACAGCCTGCAGAAATGCACACCAGAATGTAAAACCCACTCGACCTGTGTGAACGGCTCCAGACTAATACTTTTGGAAAAGATCCCTCGCCACATAGAACCTTTGACCTCTTCTTTACCCTGGGTTCTGGCTATGCTTTTGCAAGTGACTGGAGTGCAGCGTCTGACGAATCGGCCAAGAAGAACTGCCTGAGGCCCTCTGGGGCATAAAACTCGTGTTCTGGGTTGCTGCGATGGGCAGCCAAGTCTTCGCAGAAACAAAGCAGCAGCGTGTCAATGACCATCTCGTAGAGAGAGAGCACGCAGTGCGCCACAAAGAAGGCAAAGACGCACATGACCAGTGCAGGAATGGCGTACAGGTGAAGCTCCGGGTTGTTCTTGAGCAGCAGCACCCCCACCAGTCCAGTCAAGGCAGTCACAAGGCACTTTGCCAGGAAGAGGACAAAGTCACCGACGCTGTTCACAATCGCCACGCTAAAAGCATTCTCCGCGATGGTGAAGAAGGCGATGCGAGCGGAACCACAAAAGGAGCGTCCCTTGATGGCCACAACCGTGTAGGCATTGTGGTTCAGGTAGCATAGGAACTTCTCGAGGCACCAGAAGCAGCAGCGGCACCCACGAAGGGTGCAGCTGCAGCAGGTTTGGTCGCCGTGCTTGTTGAGCCAGCGCTGCAGGACGGAGAGGATGATCCGGGGGAGCTTGAACACCAGGATGAGGAACGAACCCATGGCCACCGAACCCAGGTGGTAGAGCACAAGCCGGGCAACCGACCTGCCAATTGGATTTGAAAGCGACCTGCGGTCCTTGCAGAAGTACCAGGATGCCACGGCCCCGGCGATGACCATCTGCTGGCAGGCAAGGATGAACTCGCCCATCCAGACCAGAAAGATGATGTGGAACCACCACATGTAGTGCACCCAGGAGCGCTGGTCGTAGGCAACCAGGGTGAACATGCGCGTCTCGGCGGCCGGCTGCGGTTCCAAAAGTTCCGTCAGGTTAGATGGCGAAGTTAGGTTAGACGGCACGAACGGAAGAAACTGCCGGGTCTCCCTGGTAGGGTAGTCTGCGGTGGCCAGGAAAAGAAGGACGAGGGTCCAGAAGAGGAACAGGGTTGCCAGCGCCAAGAACGTCCAGACCGGTTGAGCGAGGAGGAATGGCATGTGGCGAATGCAGAGGCTGGATTCCTTGAACAGCGCTGCTACGAGAGCGACGCGCTTCCACATCGCCACGACAAGAAGCAGGATGATGACCATAATGACCGTAGACACAATAGCGAAGACCAGGAAAGCATGCTCATTCATGGCAGCTTCTTCGAGCAGCTGTCCAAATGGAGTCGAATCGAGTCCCAGCTTTATGTCCACGTAGGTCCACCACAGGACCGCCGTAATGGCCACCAGGGCGACCGCAGTAGACACAAGTATGATCCGAGACACTAGCTTGGCCAGTAGGTGGACGAGGAACACCGACACTAGGGCCACGATGCAGGCAAACAAGATCATGCCCGCCACCTCCCGCCAGGCGGCGTACAAGTCGCTGACCACCTGCTGCAAGGCGTCGATGCTGTTCAGGTAGCTGTAGATGCTGTGGAAGAAGTCCTGCGTGAGGTCAACCACTGCTTCCGGCACGCAGCGGTTGAGGACGGGCTTGCTCGCGGGCACGGGGAGCCTCGGGCACGGACCGAAGCCCCTCTTCTGCTGCTCCTTGTTGAACATGTCCACGACGGTCTGGTTGGAAAGCATCGACAGGTCCGGAAACAGAGAACTCGACTGGCCCGGCTCGGTGACGTCGTAGCGACACAGCGAGGAGCCCGTCTCTTCTCCGAACCTCCGCACTTCTTCTGTGGTCTTCAGCTCGCGGTGGGGACACTGCTTCACGCAGACCTTGAGCGAGTGGCTCAAGTTAGACAGGTCGAAGTAGAACAGGTACGGCCGGCCCGTCATGTTCTGCCCGGAAAACTGGAGGGCCCCCATGGGTTCGTCGTTGTTCATGCCGCAAACGTTACCGAAGCTGTCGTAGCCGCTGATCAGCCTGAACGGGTTGCCCAGGACGAACGCAAAAGCACTCACGAAGATCGCCGTGCCCCAGAAAGCCATAAATACGACGAAGCATGGGAGATCCGTACAACCGCGCGGTTTGAACGCGGAGGGAGCTCGTCGGTCTCGGCGCTCTGGCACTGTCGTTGCCTCGTCGCCACTTTGTTGACAGCACAGGCCCATCTTGGTTCTCGCAGGTCAGCGCGCAGAGGAATACATGAGACCGCCTCGCACACAGATAAGCGCTGATACGGACGCAGAATGCGTGTTCTCGTTCCTTTGTACTTGTTCTGCACAACTTTGCGCACGCACAAAAGCCGTTTGCGCGGTTGTTTGTACCGTGGTTTGTGCGGCTTGTACAGTTCAGTCAGTTCAGTGGTGTGTGAGCAACGTGTTCAGTCAATCAGGTTTTGAAATTGTTATGATGACGAAGTGGAGTAGTTCATGCACAAGTAGCCCGCTAAGACTTCTTTGGGGCTTCATTCGACAGCGATAATGGTTAAGATTTTGTTAAAACAAAGAAATATGTTTTCTTACTTAGCAAATAAAGTGTGTTTGTTACATAAAAAAAAAATGAAATCCACAAACATTTTACAAAACATAAAAGCAAAATCACAAAAGAAATTACAAGAAAATTGGACCCTTAGCATTATAATAAGAATGCTATTCTTTTGCATATAAGCGTCGGTGGTTCAGTGGTAGAATACTCGCCTGCCACGCGGGTGGCCCGGGTTCGATTCCCGGCCGACGCATGTTTTTTATTTTGTTATGTGTTTTTTTTTTTTTTTTATTGACCAACGAAGTAGACGTGCATACCTACAATCTCGTTCGCATTGCCTCCTCAAGTTCTTTTCGCGTGATATCCTGCAACTCCCGCAAACTATTTTCCAGCCTCTTCCTCAGCTGCTGCTCTTCTGTGTCCAGTGTGGTCTGCAGTTCTGCTTGGAGTCGCTCATATATCAGTAGGCATGACCTCGAGCTGTAAATAAAATATTTGCCAAGTCAGACAAGAAAAAAAAAAAAAGAAACTTTATCGTTTTGCTCGATAAAACTACAAACACGAAAATAAAATGGACAATAGGAGCTCTGATGGCACCACAAGAACGCACACGGGTACCCTGTGTGAGACTATTTAGTGAAGTATTCATCTTAAAATGAGGCTTTCACCCGTGTTTTCGTAAACTTTCCGCGTGCTTTCTGGGAGGCGCTTCCCCGTTCCGCGAATGCGGCTACAGCACGGTAATCTTGCATGTGCCGGGAGTCGACCATCTGGAGCATTGGAGACTGGGCGGCAGCCTGCTGAAGACACCTTTTCTGCTCGTTCGCCGTCATTCGCCTAACAAATTATTTTAAACATTGTGTACACGGTCGTAGCTGCCTTCGAGAATACGTGGAAAGTTTTACGAGAGCGCAACACCGCAGGAAAAAGGCAAATTGTCGAACGCAAGTCTCGAGGCGTCATCAAAGGACAATAGACCATTTGCTTACCCAAGCAGCAAGGAGAATGCAGGGAACGGTGTTTCACACGCGCACGCCTTCCCCGTATAAAAGATTTCAAGTAAATAACAAGGATAAAGCGTTGACGAACTCGCGTGCAAGATGCCATTTGTTTTAGGTTTTTGCTTTAGAGAAGCTGCTACTGCTGAGGCCAGCACGTGCGGCGCGTGGAACACCAATCCCTGCATTCTCCTTGATGCCCGTCGAAGAGCTTCGTCTCTTCCTTCGTCTACTTATTAACATATTTGTCATTAAATATATATTTATATCCCCACTGGAAGTCAAAATTATGTTAGCTTAACTGCAGCAGGTAGATATACACTGACCTCTATGACAATTGCTGTATCGCGCATCCCCACTTGGTCGCTGCAGAGCGAGTGCGGCCACCGAAAGGCTATCTTGCATCTCGAAAAATCGCGTTTTTGGAGCGTTGCGGAGGCTGGCGATAGCGTGCTGAAGACACGTTTTCTACTTGTTCGTCGTCATTCGCCGAAGAAGGTCTGTCAAACCCAGCGTAAGCCGTGAGACTTGCCGTTGAGAACACGTGGAAATTTTTACGAAAGTGCAGCGCCGCGGGAAAAAGGCCCGTCGAAAGCAAGTTTCGGCGGTCTCGCGGCGTGATGAAAGCTTCCTTGGCACACCGCAGTGCTGCGTCTCTGTGCCTTCGCACGCTTGGACACCGACCAAGAATCGATACCGTGTGGATGTGTTTTGCGAGTGCAATGTACGTGAAGCCGTATGTGCCTCTGGAGCAGCGTTTTACTTTACTCTGACGACTGTATTTGTGCTTGCTACGCTCGCGGTCCAGAAACGAGCTTGATCCAGCGTGCAGTGGCGACGAAAGAGGGGGGCGGGGGAGGTACGTCTTTTTTTGTCGTTAGACGGTTTACGGAATACCGCGCAAAACAGCTCCTTATCACGGATCAGTGCGGGCTCATTATCAATCTAATTTATGGCACTTGGCGTTTGAGCGCGGCTCCCCTAACTGCGATTGGTCAACAGATTGCACACGACCGTATGGGCCGCGCTTCAAAAATTTTCATTCTCGCCGTCTTGTAGTTTTGCTTTGAAAACCCTCCTTACTCCATAGCGTACTCTCTGTTTGCGCTGCCATGTGATCCATCAAAGTGGATTTGGAACATAGCCATGGTTAATAGTGCATAAGTGCAACCGTACAGATTGCCCCCCCCCCCCCCCCCCCCTCCCTTTATTGATAGCAACTCGCCGGAACAGCTGGACAATCCAAAACTCCATGACCGATATATGACGCAAAGACATCTACGCGCGACACACCTTCCAAACTTTGCCGCGGCGCCGATTCTTGATCGTTATCCAAGCGTGCGAAGGCACAGAGACAGCACTTCGGCGTGCCAAGGAAGCTTTGATCTTGCCGCGCGACCGGCGAAACTTGCTTTCGACAAGTTGTGCCTTTTTTTCCTGCGGCACTGCGCTTCCGTAAAAATTTCCACGTGCATCAACGGCAAGTCTCACGGCTTACGCAGGGTTTTAAAGAACTACTTCAGCGAATGACGACGAACAACTAGAAAATCTGTCTTCAGCACGCTGCCGTCAGCCTCCGCAACGCTCCAAAAACGCGATTTTTCGAGATGCAAGATGGCCCGTCCGGTGTCCGCACTCGCGGAGTGGGAACGCGCGATCCAACAATTGTCGTAGAGATTAGTGAATATACGTAACGCATCCTTTAATAATTACGGAACTTCTTACAACCATGGAAAAAACAGAAAACAAAGAATGTGCGTGGCGCTGGCCGCACTCCATTTGTATTATGAACTGTAGTTCACCTCGCAGCGCATCGCGTCTCTCGGATCTTGGCTGTTGCTGTGTATCTTATTGTAGATCACTCGGACCCGTGTTTATTTTTTTTTTTTACGTATTTCTGAAATTTGAATAGGCAATAAGCATCTACGCTGTAAACAACATTTTGTTTTAATATGTTGGGCTGACTTTTTTTTTTTAATTTAGGCTTTTTAGGGAAAGTCGAACTTTGTGTAAGAAAAATGAAAGCGCGAGTCAGTTTCTCAATACTTCTACCCATTGCTCCTGACACGCCCTTTCGTATTTTCACTAAGGCTTTTACTTCCCAACTATTTAGTGTATATTTTTCCATTGCCGCCGCCACTGCTTGTAGAATGGCCGAGGACCCTGTCAAGCTGATTGATTAACTTTTTTTCTTCAGCCTCCCCTAATTCTTTGTTGAATGGAAAAATAAACTATTTGATTTAATTTGATTTGATTTTATATGCTTTCGGACAACACAAGATATTAATTGCGCTAGCAGAGCCACAATTCGTGGTGTGCGTGTTGATATATTTCCTCAAATATATTTTTTTTTTCGCCGCAATTATATTTTTTCCTTTCCCCTTCCCCGCTCCCCCGCCCCCTCTTTCCCGGTCAGCATTAGGAATGTTGCGAACTTTTGTCAAACCGGCTTTTTAGGTCGAACTTTCGGGGCTCGACTGCTTCGAACCGATTCGACGAACCTTCGAACTTCTAACCAGATTCGACCGGTTCGACTTTGTGGACAGTGTGGCCAGACCTTAATACAAGCATGTCTAGGTTTGTAAAAAAAAAAAATATGAAAAGGGTTATTTTAATGTTATGAACAGTTGCAATTAAAAGAAACTATTTCTAATCGCTGAAGAAGTTAATAACTTGATTTGTTGTACTGTATTAACTGAAATAACCAATCAGTGCTGCCCTTAATTCGTCCCTTAGCCATCACCACCCCATCCGAAGCCAAGTGGCCAGCCTGTCGCGCATGCGCATAGCAGTCGAACCTGAGTCGAAACTTCGTCGAACTTTTCGCAAGTTTGAAAAAGTCGAACCTGGTCGAACTCCAACCTCGACTGGTTCGCGACATGCCTTGTCAGCGTGTCCCGTATTTCGCTAGCAGCAAGGTGGTAACCCTAGGCCGTCCGTCCGGTGGCCGCATTCGCGGAGAGGGGAAGCGCGATCCAGCAATTCTCATAGAGATCGGTGGGTCCAACGAAGGGAAACATGAGGCAGTGGAATGGCAACTGGAGGTGAGGCTAATGAAGGAGAAGAAAGGTCGAGAAACAGTGGAAAAAGAGCTAGAAAGGATGGGATGGGAGCTGGAGGAGATGAAGAGACGGGGCACGGAGGGAGGAGCAGTTGACGAGGGCAGGGGACGTAGACGACAGTTTTTCGGCAAAGACAGCGGAACCGCTGTACAGTACGGTAGTGTAACGGCAACTCTCTACTCCAACAGCCACCATACCTGCGGTGCAGTAGACACAAAAGGGAAAGGGCAGATAGTGTGGGTGGTAGGAACTCCAATGTGTCTAGGTGAACAGCGGCCAGCAAAGTCGGGGGAGATAAAAGAGAAAGAGTCATGGGCGTACCAACCGGGGGGCAACCCTGGGGGGGGGGGGGGGGGGGTCTGGCAATCATAAACGAGTTGATACACCACTGGTAAGGGTGGCAGCTCTCCCAGGCAGGAGGATGAAGGAGGTGATGGACACAGCAGTAGAAATATTGACTGTGAACAAGGGGGAGAAAAACCTTATGATACTTCATGCTGGATTGAATGACGTCCTAGGTAGAAGGAGAAGGGACCTGACCACACACGTAGAGGAGGGTGCGAAGCAGGTGGGCGTCATAACCTCCACGATGGTGCACATTGTCATGTGCACCGTCCCGGTGATCAGGGGCCAAGGAGCACGTACAGAGGGGGCAGTCCAAGAGGCTAACAGGACCACCAAGATACTGAGCTCTAAGAACGGATATGAAGTCATGAATGTGAACAGGGAAGTACATCACGTAAGTCCTGCCTTCAGCCGAGACGGCATCCACTATGGAGAACTGACGGGGATGCGGGTGGGGCGGAGGATGGGCTCTAGGGCAAGGGCCTCTTCAGGAGCCGGCATAGCCCTCTGGTAGCTGAGGGTTCATATACAAATAGGAAGGCGTGGGAGGAAGCCTCGCAGAAGGAAGAAGCAGCAGCTCAATATAGGATTTATAAACATGCAAAGGAGGGGAGGGGGGGGAGGGGCAAAAGTAGAATAAAAATGGGAAGAGATTGCGGAACAATTAAATGATGAAAATTTTGCAGTGTATAGACTGGCAGAGACGCATATCTAGGAGATGTGGAGGAACCACCCTACTTGGCAGGTTAGTTTTGGGTGGAATGCAATCGCTGTGAAGGGGAGCGGAAAGGGGGCGGATTGCAAGAGCTAGTGAAAGGACAGGTCTGAGAAAAGGTAAGGGAAAGCTGCAGAGAATACATCTGGTTAAAAGGCAATATTAGAGGCAGTGGCTTATTAACGGGATGGGGTGGAAGGGGGGGGGGGGGGGGGGAGCCGAAGGTCCCTGGGCCCCGGGTACCAGGCGTCCCAGTCACGTGGGAGAGTGCCAGCTCTGGCAGCATACCCCCCCCCCCCCCCCCCCCCCCCCCGCTCTACTTGATGCGATCTCGGGCAGTGAACGGCGAAAGACCAGTGGAGAGCCCAGAGAGCTAAGGGTGTAAATGTGTGAAGCTCACCCTCTCCGATTTTGTTACTTTCTCCACTCCACGTGTCACACACCCGCGCGAAATCTGGGGCGCGCACACGCATGGGCGCAAAAACGTAATCCCCGAAAGAAAAAAAAAAAAAAAGGCGGGTAGGCAGGGCGTATGGTGCAGACCTGGGTGCCAGGCCCCTGGCTTGTCGGTCAGCGGACCAGAAGGCGACGCGTCTCGCCAGGCGCTGACGGCTGCGGCGGGTCTCCCTGGCGCAGAGGCTATTGGCCCGGACGAGGAAGGCCCTGAGACGATCCAGCAGGCTTCTCTGCGCCGCCCGAACCGCCAGGGGCGCTGAAACGGCCGGCACCCAGTGAGCGTCAAGCCACCTGCCGGCGGGGGTTCACATAACGTCCTATTAACTGTCGCAGTTAAAAAATGAAAGCCGTTTACAATTCCCTGTAACGCCGGTTAGAGCGCAGCTCTTGAGGAGGAAGATGGAAGCGTACTGAGGGATAGGTGACTCCTTGAGGTCACGTGACCCCCTTGAGGTCACGTGACTTCAGGGGGTCACGTGACCTCAGGGGCTCACGTGACCTCGGGGGTCACGTGACCTGAAGGTCACATGACCTTAGGGGTCACGTGATCCCCAGAAGTCACGTGACTTCAGGGGTCACGTGACCTTAGGGGGTCACGTGACCTCAAAGCGGTCACGTGACTTCTGGGGGTCACGTGACCTCAAGGGGTCAGGTGACCTCAGGGGGTCACGTGACCTCAAGGGGGTCACGTGACCTCAAGGGGGTCACGTGACCTCAAGGGGGTCACGTGACTTCTGGGGGCCACGTGACCTCGGGGGGTCACGTGACCTCGCGGTTACGCCGACGGCGACGCCGACGCCGTTCAAGCCGGCAACGGGCCCCTAAGAGCTGCGCTCTAAAACACTCGCTAGGTAGCGCAAGCTATTCAACGTTTGAAGAAGTTCTACTTTCTTGCGGTCACGGTTAGACCGGAAGATTGCTTCTTCAGCTGTCCAGTGTCCGCGCTTGATCGGCGTGGAAATGCACGGATCATTTACGCGGTCCAGCGCGACCTTCCCGCCTTCGGTGGAGCTTCGGTGTCTCCTGAGTCGCGTGCGCGCACGCTCAAGCAAAGAACGACTGGAGGCATCCGCAAGGGACGCCGTTCTTACTTTCTCAGAACAGGGGCGGATCCAAGGGTGGGGGGGGGGCGACGGAGCTGCCGCCCCCCCCCCCCCCCCCCCAAACTAAGTCGACCCCCCTCCCCCTTCTCGCATGGCAATTTGACATAGGTAGACCCCCGATCAACTCCGACCCCCCCCCCCCCCCCCCCCCCCCGTCCCCCCGAAATAAAACCGACTACCGCGCTTGCCAGGTGGTAGAAGTCTCGGTACTCAAGAACGAGGGTTCAAAATAGGGTAGGTCGCACCCCGGCTGGCACACTTGTACTCTGAACTTAGAGAACCACTCCGTCGAATGGGAGAATAGTATCATTACACATTCCCCCCCCCCCCCCCCCCCCCAGAAAAAAAAAAAGAAAATTTTGGTATCGTTCCTGTCTCAGAAGACAGACGATTGCACTCTTCACCCGACCTTGGCCCGACGGACTTTCCGCTTTCCACTCTTGAACGCGCCCACCCCCGCTCAGTAGGAGCGCAGGGTGGCGGTGATGTCAACTTGAATTACATCGGATATTAGTTAATTTAAATGAGAAGTTTTGGCTAGGTGCCTCAAGCCGCCGCCCGATTTAAAGGGTTCAGCCGTGTCCATCCGTCCATACTAAAGCATCTCGATAAAATTGGCGTTTCTTAGCGCTGAGGGAAGGTGCAAGACACGTGCCACGAGCGAGTGCTCCACCCTCCCGCTCATTTCAGTGAATGCATCGCCGCGCTCCCAAGGGCCCCGCGAGTATGCACGGGTATGCACGAGGCTCGTGCAGCGGCGCATTTGACGCCCAGACAGGAGGGGCTTTACTTGATATCCCGCTCTGTAGGCGATCGTCACGCCTGCCACCAGAGTCACGGCAAAATGCAGCCTTCGATACAAACCAATGGCTCATTGTCTCTGCCGAAAACACGTCCCTGCGCGCCATGCGCAGCGGCTCTCCTCTTTAGCTGCTAGATCCGCCAACGTATGCGGGAACTGTCCATAGGTGTGGCAGAATCCAAATCTACCTCTTTCGTAATTTACGCGCCCATTGTTAAAAGATCTGAAACACTGCACAATGGCGGAACATGCTACACCACAGAATACGGGGGTGTTGGAGAGGGGGGGCGGGGAGGGGGAGGGGGGGGTGGAACCGGCGCAGCATGGGGGCGGACATGATAAAGACGTGTGTGTTGTCGCACAGCACTTAGATGTGAGGCAGATCTGGTTAGTTTAAAAAAAAAAAAAAAAACGACTTTTAGTTTTTTTAATTATGACGAAACGAAACTGTATTCTATTTTGCAAGCGTCAAATACGTTTACAACTTTATTTTCTACGAGACAAAGGGCACATTCTTGAGACTTAGTGTGCTGTTTGGAGAAATATGCACTTTCTTTTCAGCCCATTTGTTTGGTTTCGGTTTTTCCCGTGATGTGATAACGCACACCTGCTTGCTTGTGGTTTTGTTTACATCGGTCAGATCACCGTTTCAGCTAGACTTCTCTGCGAAGTGCGACTGAAAACGCTCGTTGACGCTTATCAGAAGAATATCGTGAAACACACGAGAATCGTCGTGTGGGTAAGTTTTTCTTTTATTTTTTTTCTTTTATTTTTGTATTTGCAGACCTAAACTCGAGCTTGTGGAACCTAACAAGGACCTCCCCGTTGGCCTGCTTCCAGTACGAGTAGGCTGCCTTTATTACGCTGAGCTACAAACGCAAGCCGGTAGACATGACACTCAGCTGCCACCCGAGAGTCAGCCTGGGCGCATTCCAAAACAGCAGCTCGCGCATGCTCCAAATTCACGCGATGACTCGCGCAAATGTCAGACAGCTGAAAGACCTCCCAGTCGTTCCCGTATTGCTTATTTGAACGTGTTCGAGACGTTCTAGAGCATTTAGTAAGCTTCAGTCATGTGCTCAAACCCGATAGAGCTTCGAAGCAGGCGGAAATCAGCAAAGCAGAGTTCATTTCGTCTAATATGCACTGTTGTTTTCTAGGCTCCCTCAAACCTTTCCTTGTCCCTCATTTACGCGACTAACACTTTTTGAGTCAACCTGACTGACCAACCAGTTCTCTTTGGCTATAGAATCAAGTAATCAGTGTAACCATCCAGTCACTGTAACAACAACGTGCAGTCACGGCCAATAGCCACAACTTCCAGGCCAAACAAGGGATTGTAGCTAAGCAGTTTTAAAAACATATATGTTCATTTTCAAAAGAAGGCCCCTATCGCCCCAATCAATCATATTATCGCGTGAGAATGCTATTTACAATTTCAGGTTTCCGGCAAATCAGCAATGGCCAGTACCTGGGTGCTAGGATCGGTGCTTCAAAGAAGTCAATCGGCGTAGGATGTTGGTCCTATTCATCTGGAAGCCCGCCGGTAAAAGGAAAGTGTTGGAATGTGCCAAGGATATGTTTAGTGTGTTGATGAGCCTAGCTCATTGTTCTCCATGCATAGTCGTCTCAAATGATGGGCTCTCTGTTGGTACAATGATGCGTAAACCGCACTTTGATTTAGTGTGCCCGATGAGTTGAAGTCGCCCGTTAATTGACTCACAGCTGGCTGATAACCTACGTAGGACTTGTTTTATTCTAATTTGTTTCAAGTATTCCTTATAATACTGTAACCCTCCAGTAAATGTGATTTTATCGCTTGATAAAATTATTCTGATGAGTTTCAATCCTTGAGCCATTAATTTTTGTCAAAACATTCTTTTAATTGGCGGTTTATTTTTTTCCTTCATTAATATTTGTAGTGTTAAAGGTCTTGCCATATATTATTATTTTCTGAGCTCCCCATCAAAGATGTCATCTCAGCAATTGATGGTCAAAGGTGTTGTGAGAGTGACATGACCCGGAGCTTGTGGATGAATTAACATGATCAGCTTAATATTAATCATCCCATGCATTAACTATGAGTGTCTGGCATCGTAACACTGAAGCATGGGGAGGGACATCACAGAGGCGAAGCTTCAAAGCTGTAAAGCTGTGTTCATGCAAGTTTTGTTTGTGCCGTCCCTCCCTGTACTTCAGACCAGGGTTATAATGTCTGTTCTCAAACAACTTGTTTGCATTCTCGCCTTGACTGCGTATCTTCAGTTCTTGAATCAAAATGCATAATTTACTTGAATCCCAAAATCACTTTCTCCCAAAGGTGACACTTGAGGCCTACAATAAACCCACGATCAGAGAAAAGCAAACCGAAGGACGGGTAACACAAAGGTCTCAAAACACGGCAAGCAAGCTTTCCGTCACTTCGCCTGACGTCACTGAATAAAATATAGAGACCTCACTTGCTTGATGTCACAATACTTTGTCTATTCACTCGCATGTTGAACAAGAAATGCACATTGGGTCCAGGAACAGTGCCGGAAAGGGATCAAGAATGCAAAGTTTGGTGGCATAAAAATAAATGCAGCATATTTCTTGATCGAGCTATGAACAATCATGCAGTACTTCTAAAATGTTTTAATTATCGTTAAAAATCTTATTATTGGCCAGTTTCAAGGCAAGGAAAGAAAAATTACCTCGAAGGTTATTAGATAAAGTCATCCAAGCGTTTGCAAGGTCCAATTACCCAAACACGGTGGCATAAGCAAGAGAACTTACTGCTCACATTATAGGCGCCGGGAATCTTCCATATCGTGAAACCAAATTAAAAAAAAGGATTTACTTTCGAATAAGTAACCGCGAAGTTGAGGAGCCGTCAGCTGACGAAACTGAACAGTTTGAACCTCAACAACCGAGGCGTTTCTATCACCCAGTGCCTCATGGCCACACCACCACACCGTGAACATTCCAACTCTTCGTCGCATGATTATAATGCAATGTTGCAGCAAACAGGGTGAAACGCCACTACCACGCGGATTAACGAAACCTACGCGCTGCTGTCGACGGGGAACGAATCCTAGCTTGTAATTTCGCTTTTGAGTGGATCCACTCGCTCGTGTCGCCGTTAGAACACCTGCGATGGTTTCAAAAATACTCTTCCGTCTTTCACTCACATTACAGAAACAGTTTTAGCACGTTTTCGACACTTGAGCACGCAAAGCGAAGACAGCGAGGAGCATCGCACGTCCTGCACAACCAAAACACCGGCGGGAAATTTGAAATGTGCCTTTGCCAGTATTGGTCGGCGCTCTCTCGGTCCAAACAAAACCAAAACAACAAAAGAAACACTCGCAGCGCAGCGGAAGGCGGCGGGTGCCATTAAAAAGACG